GAAGCCATTCAGTACAGCGATGTGGGGAGCAGGACGGTGTGTGTGAAGCTCAGAGCATAGAGCCCACCCCGCGCCAACGGCTTCAGTGACAGCAGCTGCTATTACATCTATTGGAGCTGGACGCAGTTTGTATGGGCATGTGCATGCACATGCAGGTAGAAGGGGAAATACTCAGCATTAATAAGCTCCACCATTCCCAAGTAAATGCGATTCCGCTGAGCAAGCTCTGTCCTGGGAGCGTTTGCTTAAGCCAGAGAGGAGTTTCTAAAAGCAACATTTCAAAGGGGAAGGTGGCAGGTAGGTCATGCAAATTTAACAAGAGTCCTCTTTATGTGGGCAGTGAGAAGTGGTAGCTCTGGGACCCACAAGGAACCCTCAGTCCTCACAGCAGGCCTGAGACTCAATTGAACTTGAAATTCCATGCCCAGCACTCCCCATTTTTCCCACGCCAGCAAAGTGAACAGCCATCTGATGGCTGGGCCAAGGGACAGAGCTATCTTTGCCTCTTGCCAGCTGAGAAATGGTTTGTTTCCCTTTCCAACGCGGCTGCATTCTCCTTGCAGCTTTCCTCGGCCATTCAGTATTTCCTAGCTCAGTCCCATGCTAGTGCTCACTCCTGGGGGGCACGAAGTGGCAGACTCCAGGGGGGATTGTCATGTAGAGCAGCAGGTTCATTCCCACCAGGGCTTCCGCAGACCCACTGCTGGAGCCAATGACCTTATTGAAATGGCTTCTGGCCTGTAAAAGCATTTTCCTAATCCTGAAAGCTTTTAGATGCACCACCAGATTCTTAACTTTTCTTGGAGAGTTGTCATGTCATGAACTCAGTGGGGGAAGGAAAGAACTGCTTGATGAAACTGACATTTTCAAGCCAGGAATGTGAAGCGTGTGTTAGGGTCTATGCAGGCCTCATCATTCTCCTTCCTTAGGTGTGCTCCTCTTCAGATCAGTAGGTGCCATTCCTTTTCCTGGGCCAATGAAATCATTCCCCTTTAAGACCTCGCCCAAAGACCAGCCCTTTGGGAAGCCCTCCAAGATAACTGTAGCCCAAATGACACTCCCCCTTTCTTTGATTATCTGCTACAGTTATTATCTGTAATAGCCCATTTGGCACTCTTGTTCCCACAACAAAATCTGCGCTCCCCGTTGTGTGTGGCATTGTGCCCGCAACATAGAACTCCTCCATCCGCAATCTTCAGGTTCCACTCGGTACTTAAGGGGAAAACCAGTCATTGTTTTAATTCATTAATAAATTAACTTTCATTGCAAAATCTGCAGGGATTTCTGTCTTCCAGCCTTACATGTTCTTCCCATTTCGCCTTTAATGCAGTAAGCACCACCACCTCCCACTGTGTGTTTAATTACTGTACTGATTGCTTACTTTGTAGGCTACATGATGTGGAAAAAATACAAAACTTAAAAGCAAGGCACTCTCCCTGACCTCCCTAGGGGTAGAGACTGAAGCCCATAAAAATATAAGAAAACACATTTAACTCTACACATAACTGGTGCCAGAGGAGTGGTCTGGATAATTGCACAACCCCTGCGGCCCCAAGTGCAAGCCCTGTCCCCCCTGCCAGCAATGGACTTCCTTGACCTGAGACCTGGACCTTCGGTCATGTGCTTGTGAGAGCCTTCCTTAGCACCATCTTTGTTCATTTTAAGCCTAACATTCCTTTATCTTTCAGGCCTCTCTTTTAGAAAATCTCTATACATGTATTTTTTTTTCTCTTTTCTTCCCCTCCATCTGGTGAGTTTTCTTTACCTTGCCCAATGTCTGTAATTTTTGGTGAGTAGTGCTATACGGGTACCATATGGTCAAATGCTCAGGTGAATTCAAAGATTTCAAATATATTGATAATTGCAGTTTGTTTACCTAATAGAGACCGGTGCATGAAATTGGTGCACTCAGGGGGGTTCCTCAGATCGGTCTGTGCCCTCTCACAGTCCAGGAGCCCTTGGGGGATGTCTGACTGAGGGCTTAAGCTGGCAGTCAGACATCCTTAGTTCTGCAGCAGAGGTGGGAGATGCTCCTGCCACCACAGCTGCGCTTGCCAGTGGTGAGCCCAGCTTCTGGCTAAGCGGCTCTCCCCTGTGAGAGTGCACTGACCACCATGGGGCAGCTCCTGTGTTGAGCGTCTGCCCCCTGATGGTCAGTGCACATCATAGCAACCGGTCATTCCGCTGTTCATATTTGCATATTAGCCTTTTATTATATAGGATAGAAAGATTAAGCCCAACATCCCATTACTTTTTATTATATTCAGTTACTCAACTAATGCAATTTTCTTTTAATTCAGTCAAGTTATTGTGAAGGATAAGCAGGTGCATTTTAATTTAACTTTGAGGTTCTCTGAGCAGTGGAAATAGGAAACCTGAGTATGTTAAGCCTGATAATCTCCATTCTCTCCCAACCTGGGTGTTTGCAGAGGCATTTACCTGGGTCTCTGAACCTCTGATAGAGGATGACATGATGGGGAAAGAAGTTGGTAGAATGGGGAGGTAACCACTGGAGAAAGTAGTTGTCAGATGAAACTAATTGATTGTAATTGCTTTGCCATCATATTGCTCTTGGAGCCTGTAGCTTGTTAAAACCACTGATTATGAAAGAAGGATCTCACTTTTTATGCTGTAGGTCATGTTAATGAAGAGCTGTTCTTAGAGAAATGATCAGTGGATATCAATAAACGGATAATAGAAATTAAAGGAAAACTTAATTAACTTGATCATGAGTTACTATACTTCAGCAGTCACAGTAGCAGTCAACTGTGTGGTGTTCCCTACTGAATCTTTTGCTTGGAGCTCTTGAATTTTAAGTATTTCCCACAGAAAGAGAGATTGAGCCTGTGAAACTATTTATCACATACTGTCTTAAATAACAAATCATCCTGTAGATTTATCTTGGAAAACAGAAGATATGTCTGTTTTACAGAGCCTTTATTTTGTGACAAAGTATTAATAGGAAGGTATTTTGAAATGGAAAAAATAAGTTCCCATTGTATCATCAGGAAAGGATATTAGAAGTGGGTTCTTTAATGCTCGTGGAATATGAGTAGTATATAAGTGAGCATCTGTCTGAATCTGAAGATAATATTTATCAATGTTAAAATGAGTATACTAAAATGATAACATTAATGTGAAGTTATATCTAACATTTTGTTGTAGGATGTGCATTAATGTTCATATGATTGTAACTATCATATCTTTCATCCTGGCATTTAAACTGTTGGTGATGTTAGAGTGATCACATTTACTGGAAACGTTTTTACTGAGCACCAATTCTGATTAAGGCTCAGGCTCAGTCTGGCCTCAAGGAACTCACAGACTAAAGGAACAAACGTGAACAAATGGTTGCTTGTAGCATTAAGCACAGTGATACCAGCGATAAAAAGTGCTAGAGGGACGCAAGGGGAAAATAACGCGCACTCTGAACGATTTCTCGGTGTCTTCCAGCAAAGCTAAAGATGGTCTAGATTGGAGCAGTGTGATAGTTCCTGGTATTTGGGGAAATGAAATAACAGAAATTAGGGTGTGTGTTTTAGGGTGCAAGAAGATGAGATTAGACAGGCAAAATTCCAGATGGCTTATGTCTTTCTTTGCCCCCCTATGGGATTTTGAGTTATTCCTATGGGAATGGGGCTCCCAGAGGAGTTTTAAATGTTGAAGGACAGAAGTGAATTTCCTTTTAGGAAGATCACTGCCCCCTCAGTGTGGATGATGGCCAGGAACGGCTCATTGCAACCTCCAGGTAGTAAGCAGGTACAATTGCCTGTGCTGGTGAATATTAGTGTTAATGTAGGTCTGTGAAAAGGAAATTAAAAGAGCTCAAAAGCCGAATCATTTTTCATCTTTGACTTTTAAAATATATTTTTCTGAATGTGAGATTAGTGCTAATACACTTGTTGCTGAAAACGTGAAACTACAATGTCTACACGTGATAATAGAGTCTGTGTCTAGCAGACAGCACATACTTCTGGCTAGTTTTGTGTTTAGGAAGTAGATGTAGATGTGTTGCTTACTTGAAAAAAAAATGTAAGTAATTATGATTTTAAAATACATGTTTAAGATAATGCTTAAAAAATGGCAATAATTTTGGTTCTGTTAAAGAATCACCAGAATAAAATTTCACATTAAAGATTCTGTTTTAGAAATTGGAACATTTGCATTTTAATTACATAACAAAAGGATAAAGTGAAGGGATAATTGGCTTGGCTATTAGCCAATTACAGCTATAACTGAAAAACAAAAATAAACAATCAAAAAACCTCACAGAAACTGACAATGGTTTCCACAAACAGTCACAATAGACACTGATCAGATGTTTGATGACATTTGGCAACACTAAACGGGCGGGGGCATTGTTTCAGTCCCGCACACAATGTGTTTGCTAAAACCGAAATTAATGAGAGCAGATTGGAGGAGTTTGAAGGGTCATTCGGTTTTCATGCGAGTGCATCCTCAGATAAGGCTTGTCTCCAGTGATCCCAGTTGTTAAAACCTCATGGAGAAATAAGGCGATTCAATGCCGTGGTTGTCTTAATCTGTCTGGGCTGCTGTAACAGTACCAAAGACTGGGTTACTTCTAAGGAACAGCAGAAACTTATTTCTCATAACCCTGGAGGCTGGGGAGCCCGAGGTCAAGGTGCCTGCAGATGCAGTGTCCGGTGAGGTCCTCCTGGTTCATAGAAGGCCGTCTTCTCGCTGTGTCTTCACGTGACCCAATGGGCCAAGCAGGCCTTGGATCAGTCATGACCTAATCTCTGCCAAAGGCCCTCGCTTCCTAATACCATTACCTTGGGGATTAGGTTCCACTGTATGAACTTGGAGGAGGTCACATCCAATTGCATTTTTTTATTATAGGGGAGGTTTTATCCGGTCTGTCTAGCGTTCCCATAGTCAGTGCCAGGAGAGGGCCTCCGTGTGGAGATTCAGGGCAGTGCCAGGAGCCGGGGTGTCAGAACGCACCACTGACCGCACCGATCTGTGTGCTTCCCTTACAGACACCACCACATATGCCACCGAGCGGTCCGAGCACTTCAAGCCCTGCCGGGACAAGGACCTGGCCTACTGTCTCAACGACGGCGAGTGCTTCGTGATCGAAACCCTGACCGGATCCCACAAACACTGTCGGTAAGCCATTGCGGCCCTGGCCCGAGTCGGGCCCTCAGAGAGGCCTGGCGGGGGAGGGGAGTTGCAGCCCGTTGAATTTACAATGAGATGCCTACAGTCCCGCTGTTTGAATGGTGGAATCAAGAGTCTTAATGGGAGAAGGGAGAAGGCTGGTATCTTGTATCTGAGGAAGATAAAACTGAATGGAAGTAGACAAGATCTGAGTTTTACCTGATTAAGTAAAGGGCGATTTGCCTTAAGGACTACCAACCTGATAGGAATAATGGTTCACTCCCTTTAGCGGCCTGTGTTTTGGTGTGGGTCTTAGGCACATGTGCTTCCACTTGGAGGAATCCCTTCTTGGAAACCTTTAGACCAGTGGTTCTCAACCTTCTGGCCCTTTAAGTACAGTTCCTCATGTTGTGACCCAACCATAAAATTATTTTCGTTGCTACTTCATAACTGTAACGTTGCTACTGTTATGAATTGTAATGTAAATATCTGATATGCAGGATGGTCTTAGGCGACCCCTGTGAAAGGGTCATTCGACTACCAAAGGGGTCGCAACCCACAGGTTGAGAACCACTGCTATAGAGTGTGGCACAACAGAGAGAACTGCTCATCTGAGATCTGGCATCTTAATGTTTGCTGTGCACCAAACCCGAGACTGTCACTGTGTCCAGGCAAACGGCGTCTTCCTTTGCTTCTGCCCCATTTATTCATTTCGATACATTTCCAACACCTCTGATGATGAAATGCCCTCCAGCCGGCGCTTGTAAATGGAATCGCCCTTCTGTTGCAGCCTGGGTAGAGAACTACTTAGGGAAAACTCTCAGTAGATATCAGGAAGGTGTTTAATTGGTTTTTAGAGACATGAGGTTACGTAACTGCTAAAAATAAAAACATGTGGAGATAAACAGTGCACCTGCGGACCCTGCTGCTCTAAGGCTCCATAGAAGAATCAAATTAGCATCTGAAAAATATTTCCAGCAAGCTTTCCTTCCAGCCCTCTCCCTGCAATTTGTTTTCCTTGCAGCTTTGTTTATGCTTCAGTGATCATATATATCCACACCCCCTCCTCTTTCTTTACTCTTCTCACATGACACAGTTATTAAATTAATTATTCTGAGTCATGAAGCATGGAAAATTATGACTTTGCTCTCTCTGTTGCTATTATAAAACTTGACTATTATTAAGATGACACAGAGAAATGCATGGTAGAGTTGCGAACTTAGAACGTGTCAGTGGCACTTGCCTGGCGCCCTGGGCCAGCCTCGTGAGCTGCCACAGTGGGCCGGTCCCAGGTTTGGAAGAGCTGAGAGGTGATAGTGGCAGGTCTCTGTAAACGCTACTGCGCATCGCATGTCAGGTTAACAACTGTGACCTTCTCACCTCGCCATGGAGGCTGTCCTGTGCCTTGGGCAGTGCCATTACATGTACCCTGTTCATAAAAAGTATATCGTTTTCCTGTTCTCTGTGACCCTGGGTTGGGGGTGAAAGGACTGGGAATGGCTCCTCCTTGCATTCCTCTCCTATTGTTACATTTGTTAGGTCGGCACGGACACAGGTAGGAGACGCACGGGTGACTAGGAGACCTCGGGGCAAAGCCAAGAATGAGCTACCCTTTGAAAGCATGGCAAGCTTGCACACTCTTACAGATACGCGAGCACATGTTACAGCTACCTTGACCAATCCCAGGGCGCACGGTGTGGAAGTGGGCAGGGAAAATCAGTTGAGTTTCAATTCCTAATGGGTTAGTGATGGGGTGGGTAAGTCAGAGGTCTCATCTGAAACAGTGACTTTTCTGATGGTGGTTGACCCCGAGGATAGTATGCTGGCTGGCATGACTCATTTTTTTCTAAAGATGAGGGGTTGAAATATGTCTTATTCTCTCTCAACATTCTTCCTCATTATATTGTCTATTAGTTCATGGACATAATTTGCTAGGCTGTTGTAACAAAGCACCACAGATCGGGGGGCTTACATAGCCAGGATCTATTTTCTCACAGTCCGGAAGTCAGAAGCCTGAGGTCAGGGTGCTGGTGGTGATTCCTTCTGAGGCCGTGGAAGAGGGGCGCCCTTCCCAATCTCTTTTTGGCTTATAGGTGGCTGACTGTTCCCTGTGTCCTCTCTTTGTCTTCAGTCTGTGCATGTCTGCATCCAGATTTGCTCTTCTTATAAGGATACCAGTCATACTGGATCTGGGTCCACTCCCTATTTTAACTTAGTGACCCTATTTTATCTTTACCTCTATAAAAACCCTTTCTCCAGATATGGTCACAGTCTAAGTTTGGAGTTTATGACTTCAACATACAGATGAATTGGGAGGCCCAGCCCAATTCATCTGACAGTGGACCTCAGGTCCAGATATAAGAGAGCTTTTGCTTTTGTAGATGTGCATGAGTCCAATTGTTTAAACGCAAGCAGAGATACAGCCACGGCTTAGCTGGAACAATGTCCATGTAAAATCTGTTCAATCATTTTGCATATTTCATCACATTCGACCTGTTGTTTAACATAGTCACAACATAGCTAATCATGACAAAAGACCAGCCTAAAACTGAGTCGGAACTCGAGTAGCTTAATAGCGACCTATAAATCTCCTACTTGTGCATATGAATAAATCAACATCGCATGTGCCCGCTATTCATCTCCCAGACTTTGCTGTTGAATAAAGACTTACATTTCTTCCTACATCAGCCACTTCTAGGACTTCCAATGTAGTCATTAATAATGTGCCATTTTGCACAGCACTCTATTTAAGTGGCGTGTTTCATTCTTCTCCATTTGACAAATGTTTATTGAGCGCTTCTTATCACCAAGATACTGCTGAATAAATACATACAGAAATGAACTTAGGAATTAAATGGCACTATATTTTGTAATGTGCTGGGAGCAAGTGAAATTCTTCATCGTTAGGATATAAAGAAAACCAGAGAAAGTGTTCCGCATGACTGGCATGCTACTGGGATATCTTTATGATACATTACTAACTGGATTATGTTTCCAGTGAAATTAAACATGATGTAATATATCAGAGCAACAATGTAAAAGGGTGTGAGTGAATCTAGCTCATTAACTTGTTTACTTTTTCCATGTCTCAAAAGATTAGACATTCACATCTGAGAGAAATTGATTATGTTTTCTAGTATTTTAAGAATAAATCACATTTCTACGATAAACTGAATCAAACATTTTTTTCTACATAATAATTTTGATCATACTTTAACACTTTTCTGTTTACCAGCCAATGAAGAATCGTAGCAAAACTAGCAGGGTGATCCCTGATAGAGATTTTGAAAGAAATGCACAAAAATGTTAACAGTGCCAGCCTTGGATAAGGGAGGTTTCATGTGTTTCTATTTGTTATTTTCTCTCTTTAGTGTATTTTCAGATCTTTTCAAAATCCATTTATAGTATGAATAATTAAAAATTATAGAGCAAACCAATGAACATTTCAGAGGAATGCAAAGATTCTAAAACACTGGACAGAGGGATTTTAAAGAATAATTAGTAAATAAGCAAACTTGATCTCACTGAATTTAAAATATACTATGACGTCATAGACAATTGGCTGACTGATTCATAAAAAGAGAACATGGCATACAGTGAAACTTCATATAGAATAAGGGGACATTCATAAATCGAAGGAAAACTGAGACACTGATCATGGGGCAAATTTGGTCGACTATCAGTTACAGCCAATCAAAATAGGATTTTTACTTCTCTCTCTGTACCAAGAGTTGTTCTTAATAAATTCATAAGTTTATATAATTAATAAATAAATAAAGTCTTAATGGAAACGGTAACAAATTACATATTTATTTATACCAGCAATTGTAAGGGCTTCTTGAACTATAAATGAACAGCATTGTCACAACCTTGACACGTTGTTTTTGACATGAATATTGCAAATCAGAAATGAAATTAAAAGACAGATACATGATCAGTAAACTATACAACAAATATGGCAGGTAATTATTTTGAAAAGTCACATAGATGAATAACAGTGACACAAGGTTTTATCCTCAACAACAGGAAAATGGACAAAGAGAACAACATACTTTTCCCTTAAAAAGGAATACAAATAACCAATAAACATGAAAAATACTCAGCCTCACAAAGACATGCAAATTAATGTTTTTGTTTGGCTAGCATACATTAATTATTTGAAAAAGCAAATATTCTGGTGAGAGTTCAGTAGAAACATAGTCACTATGTGACGAAGTGCATATTGTTAAATACCCTCTGCAGATAATGTTTCAAAATCTTTATGGCAATTCTAAGAATTTCACCTGGAAGACTCATATGTAGATTTATTTGTAAGGATGTTCAACACAGGTTTATTTGTAATAGAAAAAGAAAATCCTGAATTTAGATGTTTGGACAATTTAAACTGTTTTAAGGACATGGGAATGTTTATTATTTCACATTATGGATGCAAATCAGGTTATTAAATTGCAAAGTTGAACATATAATAATTGACCAAATTATGAAAGATAGGTAAATGAAAATGCTATTGGGATTTGCAGCTATATTCTTCTTTGATCTTTATGAATTTTGTAAGATCTCTACCTGGCACATGTATTTCATTTATGTAATTCCTGGTTAAGAAGGTTGGCCCCTGCTTCTCACCTATCCATTAAGAAAGATAGATAGTGTCCCTTTCTCTGTTAAATTGAGGTCATTATAATTCACTTTTTTAAAGCTAAGAGAACTTTCCATTAAGCCCTTTCAGATATAAAACTGCCTAGTATATTCGAGTGTGTCTGTCTCTTCTTTTAATTATTCATTTGTACTCTTTATATGTTCATACATTTTATAATAATGTTTTCAATAGTAAATTCACTTGTTTTGAAACAAAAGTAGGAAGATACATCCTTCATAAATGAAGCTGGATAAAGAAAGAAAGCAATTCCCTACTAACTCCTCGAATCAAAATATTCTGAATCAAAGTAGGATGCTCTCTAACATATTTATTTATGCTGTTTTAAGAAATTGGGAAACGGTGCTACCTGTAG